CAACTTCTCTGGGCAACCTGTGCCAGTGCCTCAATACCCTTAATGTAACCAATTTCCTCCTTAGATCTCATTGAAATCTCCCCTCTTTCAGTTTAAGCCATTTCCCTGTATCCTGTCACTACGTGCCCTTGTCCAAAGCCCCTCCCCAGCTTTCTTGTAGCCCCTTTAGGTACCGGAAGGCTGCTGGAGGGTCTTCCCGGAGCCTTCTCTTCTCCAGGCTGAACAATCTCAACTCTCTCAGCCTGTCTCCATAGCAGAGGTGCTCCAGCCCTCGGATCATCTTCGTGGCCTCCTCTGGACCTGCTCCAACAGCTCCATGTCCTTCTTGTGTTGGGAAGCCCAGAGCTGAACGCTGCACTGCAGGGGGGGTCTCACAAGAGCAGAGCAGAGGGGCAAAATCATCTGTGATGTCCTGTGGGTCCCATGTCACCTCTGCCCACCACGTGCCAGCCTCTGAAAGCTCATGAGTCTCAAATGGCAGAAGACATCCACACCCGGGTGAGAGGTTGGAGCTCATAACCTTGCACCTGGGCAGCCTGCAGCAGACATCATAGAGGAGGAGATGGAGACTAGGTCCTTGTCGATGTGGTGGAGTCCTCTCCCAAAACACAGCCAGGACATACAGGGGAAAGCACAAAGAAAGGTTTGGTGCCGTCAAGAAATCCCTCAAGGAGACATTTCATGGCACTTGCCAGACTCTCAGGGCTGAGACCTGGACAAAGCTGTAGCTGTTGCCACCTCTCCTGTTTGAAAGGTGAGATGCAATCCCATCCCTAAATCCCAGCCCAAGACCTGTGCTATGGGTTGCACCTACTTAACATCAGAGAGTGCCCAGGTGTCCTTCAGAGCAGACACAACAGATGCTGCTCAGTTTCTAACCTTCACATGGGAGAATAAGTGCCTACCTCTGTGAAGTGACACGTTGCCCTGGTTTCAGGTGGGATAGAGCAAATTTTCCTCTTAGTAGCTGGTATAGCGCCATGTTTTTTGATTTAGCGTGAGAGCAATACTGATCCTACCCTGATGGCTGGAGTTGTTGCTAAGCAGTCAAGGACTTTCATCTGGCCATGCTCTACCAGATGCACAAGAAGAGAGGGAGCACAGCCAGACAGCTGGCCCAAACTGGCCGGTGGGATATTCCATACCATATAATGTCATGCTCAGTATGTAAACGGCGAGTTGGCTGGGGGGTGAAATCACTGTTCGAGAACAGGCTGGGCATTGGTCAACGGGTGGTGAGCGATTGTATTGTGCATCACTTGTTTTGTATATTCTTTTATTATCATTGAGGGCTTTTTTTATTTGTTTTTTTTTTGGTGTGTTTTTTTTTCCATGTCCTGTTGAGCTGCCTTTATCTCAGCCTATGAGTTGGGTTGTTTTTTTCCTCATCTCATTGCAGGGGAAAGTGAGCAAGCAGCTGCTTGGTGCTTAGTTTTGACTGGGGTTAAACCATAACAGACATCACAGATCAAAATGGGTGCAGAAACAGCATCCTGGAAGTGCCTCCAGGACACCAAGCAATGAGGTGAATCTTCCTGCCACTGACCCACTGCCGGATTTCGGGAGCTTTTCCTGGCTCGTGTGTCATTGACATTGTGCGGGGATAGTTCTGCCATTTGATGTCCTTCCTCCAGTCCATAGCCTGTTGCTGGTTTCTCAGAAATCATAAATCTGGGCAAGGTACCAGCCATTCATTCATGGAAAGCTGACACAGGTGAGCAAGGAGTGTGGCTGGAGCATTGGGCATCCGAACTAGCTGGGGCCTCTGTGAAGAACCAGCGGAGTGATTAGAACTGTTCAAGGCCAAGGATCATAGAATCACAGAATCATTTAGGTTGGAAGAGACCTTTAAGATCATCGAGTCCAATTGTAAACCCAGCACTGCTGAATCCACTGCTAAACCTTGTCCCTCAGCATCACTTCTACATGGCTTTTAAATCCCTCCAGGGATGGTGACTCCCCCACTTTCCTTGACAATTCTTTTGGTGAAGACATTTTTCCTCCTATTCAATCTAAAAGGATGCCATGTGAACTCCAAACCAGTACCAAAATCACATTATTCTGCCTGCTCCCCCATCACACTGACTATCTGTGCATGAGAAGCTCTTTGGAAAAGGTGAAGGAGTCATGTCCAAAGCAGAACGATTCATCTTAGAGAGTGTACTCCAGTATGAACCCCGTAACTGTAGGGGAGCTTTGAGGTGCAGAGTCTTGCAAAAACACCTGTGCTCAGGCAACCATATCAGTAATGTCATAGAAGGCTGAGATTGCCTCAAACATGACATCAAATACAACAAATATGAGTATGGATGTAGCAGAATGGGGACCAATAAAGAAAAAAAAGTAATTAGGGACAGATTGGGCTGAGAAAAAGAGGTGGTAAGGTAGAAATGGGAAAAAAAAAGAGGAATGACTTCCATGTAAGGAATATAGGAGGTTGGGATCTTTCAGTGTTTGGAGGATGGATGCCTACAGATGGTGGTGACGCTGACCTGGGTACCCAACTTCATGGAATGCCCTTGGAAAACTCACTGGACTCTCCATCAGGGCTATGTATAAATGGCGTAGTTTAAGAAGGTAAAAAGGGAAACACTTGCACCCTGGTATGAAGAGTTGTGGAGAGGGAAGGATGGTAAAACTGTAATGCAGCAGGAGTAGTGTGGGATTTGTAAGGTTTAAGAGTGATACCTTCCTCGTTGTGTTTAATAATGTGCAAAATCAGATCGTAGATTAATAATGATATTGTGATCATTAGTTAATTAGGTTGAAGCTTATTCAAGTGATTTATTAGTCTCTTAGTAGGGTATTGCTTAACCAGGGGACATCATGGCCTTTTGAACACCTGCAGTCCAAAGAGGGAAGGTCAAATCCTGAAGGAATGGCATTATATCACAGATACGCATGGCATGAGGCAAGAAAGCTCTCCTCCTGCCATTGGTAGTGCCCAGAGGTCCATGGCAAGTGATGGTACAACAGCAGTTCATTGCAAGCCCAAACACCACCAGATACATCCTGGGAACATGCCCCAAGGAACACAACCAAGGCAAACCTAGTAGAGGGAAAGGCAAATAACGTTATTTCTTTATCTTGGGGATATTGGAACTAGATATCTTGGGTTGGAACTAGATGATCTTTAAGGTCCCCTTCCATCCCAAATCATTCTGTGATACTATGATTAGTTTGTAGAATTCTTTAAAGGTAACTTCTCCACTTATTTGCTCATGAAAAATGAAGTTCCAGGCAAAATATAGTCCAGAATAGTGTAAAAGCAATAGAAACCATCAGGGAGCCAGCAGAGCACCAAGCAGGAAACAAGCAGTTGGGAGGAGCAGTGCTTTGTTTCTGATATCTCTGCCTTTGCCCTTCGCTGAACCCTCTTTGAACTCATCTGCACACATGAAGCAGGAAAAAGGTGATTTAACTAAACATTCATCACCAAACACACTGAAGGGCTGAGACCAAGTCCCAGCCTCCATCTGTGGATCCTGCGAGGAGGCAAAGTCAGGAAAAAAAGGAGGGTCTCTGCTGCAACTACAAATGGGAAATTAAAAGACAGCAACAACGAATGTTCTTTATCTGGAGTAAGGCAGTAAAAAAAGACTTAAGAACATGAGTACTGTGTTCAGCTGTGGAGTCCCCAACACAAGAAGGACATGGAGCTGTTGGAGCGGGTCCAGAGGAGGCCACGAAGATGATCCGAGGGCTGGAGCCCCTCTGCTATGGAGACAGGCTGAGAGAGTTGAGGTTGTTCAGCCTGGAGAAGAGAAGGCTCCAGGGAGACGTTCCAGCAGCCTTCCAGTACCTAAAGGGGCTACAAGAAAGCTGGGGAGGGGCTTTGGACAAGGGCGTGTAGTGACAGGACAAAGGGCAATGGCTTTAAACTGAAAGAGGGGAGATTTTGATGAGATCTAAGGCAGAAATTCTTCCCTCTGAGGATGGTGAGGCACTGGCACAGGTGTGGCTGCCCCATCCCTGGAAGTGTTCAAGGCCAGGTTGGATGAGGCTTTGAGCAACCTGGTGTAGTGGAAGGTGTCCCTGCCCATGGTGGGAGGGTTGGAACTAGATGATCTTTGAGGTCCCTTCCAACCCAGACCATTCTATGATTCTATGTCTGATCATTCCTGCAGATCACTTTTAGGGTGGACAGAAAAGTCATCCAAAGTTCTTTGCCAGAGAAAGGATGGAAAGGTGAAAATGTAATGAAAACCAGAAAACTTTCCACATTTTTTATTTTTAAATCTTTTCATTTGGAGTATTATTATAGCAGCTAGCTAATGTCCATGTGTGTAACGCATTCCCTGCCAGAGAAGGCAAGGGCAGCTCCAGACCTTCCTCCTCATTTGCCCATGACACCATCAATTGGTGATGCACGCTAGGTCTCCTGGCTTTCCTCAGTGCCACCTCAGCACCTTGGAGTCACCCTAGCACATACGTGGGGTGGTAGACCTCCAGTACCATACACATACGTGGTGATGTGAACACACTGAGACCAGAGAGATGCTCATCTTACAGCACGAGAATTGGTCCATCACAGCCCACGTGGAAAACTCTTACAGGACTGCTGGTTCTTTGCTTCCCTCTAAAATACCGTTGGGTTGGTAGCCAGAGCGTTCAACATCTCCATTCAACGTAAGGTCCAGCCTCAGTGCGTGGCTGACTCCCATCACCCAGTCAACTGGATTTAGTCTCAAGCCTTGGGGATGCCCAAGCCTGCCAAGGACTGCTGCTACCCAGTGAAAAGGCAAGCCACAGGCTTGTGTTTGCAAAGCCCTTCTCAGCAATCTCTTTCACGTTTTTAGGAGAGCTTTCACCACCCAAACACTTGTTGAAGGTCTTGTCACCTTTGCTGTTGCTTCAGTTCTCACAAAAGCAAACAAGCAGCCACTGGTGGCTCAGTCCATCCTGGGTCTCCAGCATCAGCTTTTGCTCACAGAAAACTACTTCCAGCCCTCTGTTCCCAACGTTCAATGTGAGGTGAATGAAGAATGTCACAGGTTCCTTCACGGGGAGAGGTGGGGCCGGAAAGTGCGTGGTCGAATCATCATGACCACCTTCCTCAGGGAGTAGTAGTCTGTGTCCTTCCATGAGTACCACACGATACCATCCGGACCCAGGACCTTTCGGTTTTTAATGGAGTATCGGCCGCCCTGTGATGCAGAGAAAGAAGGATGGTCAGGCATGGGAAATGCACGGAAGCATCATCCAGATGGGAACATCAAAAAAACAATTGCTCTGAAACAATGGAGCAAAAAGCCTAATGACGATGCAGTGAAAAGAGCACGTAAAGCCCAATGTTTTTCAAATGGTCCCAATGGAGGTAGCACCAATCTATTTCAGGCTGTGTGAGTCACTCGTTCCACAAGTTTCCACCACGTAATCCCAAACCCCAGTGTGCAGAGGTGTCTCAATACTCATGTCTGGCCTGTGGCACTGAAAAGGCTGGACTGCCTTGGTGCCCAGCACTCGTTTTGCTCCCTCCCTGGAAAGCAGAGGCTGGTCAAGCCAGGAAGGACTGCTATGATGTGAGGACCAACAGCCTCCTCCCAGCTCTGAACCTCGTGTGCTAACACCTGCATCCTCACTTCACCTCACCTTGTAGTACACCCCATTGAGGTTGGAGAAGAAGCACTGGTGGTACCACCAGCCTCCGTGGGAGATCTCGGCGCAGATGTTCCCCGAGTCGGGTGTGCTGAAGCTCCTCTTGTTGTGGTACCAGGCAAAGGAATCCTCCACCGTCCCGCTGAACCCGTCCACATGCAGGCGGTAATAGTTTGCCTCGTCCTCAATGCTGCAAGAAACAAAGGTGGTACTATTTAATGGGGAGTGTTTGAGTGTCCTTTCCAACCTGGATACTGCATTCCTGGTGTGGTCACCTAGCAATCATCGAGCTGCTCTGGCCAGCCACCCTGCTGTGATTCATCACCTCTAAAAGCCAAAGATATTTTGTTTTAGTGTTCTGTGGGATGTGCATGATTTTCTCATGACTCAGGACACTTATTATAGGTCTGAACTGGGTAGTCCATGACTCTAAAACCACAATAAAGGACTGCAGCAGCTTTGGCATGACAATCCCTCTAATTACACAGCACTGTCTCCTCTCCATGTAACAAGCAACCTGCTCTTCATCTAGACTGAGCTGATTAGTAATTTGACCTTGGGCTAGCAAAGGCTGAAGGTCACTGCCGTTGCACATAGCGTCCGATGAGAAAAGTCAGAGTGACCATTCAGAGCACATATTTGCTGGTGTAGGACGCTCCATGGCATATTCACCATATAATGGTGGAATTCAAGATTCTTAGGGAAGCAAGGAGGGTGCACAGCAAGCTCACTACCCTGGATTTCAGGAGAGCAGACTTTGGCCTCTTAAGGGATCTCCTCGCTACAGTACAATGGGATAAAGCCCTGAAGGGAAGAGGGGCACAAGAAAGCCGGCTAATATTCAAGGATCATCTCCTCCAAGCTCAGGAGCGGTGCATCCCAACAAAGAGAAAGTCTGGTAGGAACACCAGGAGACCTGCATGGATGAACAAGGAGCTCCTGGACCAACTCGGGCACAAAAAGAAGGCCTACAGAAGGTGGAAACAAGGACAGGTAGCCTGGAAAGAATACAGAATGATTGTCCGAGCAACCAGAGATCAGGTTAGGAAAGCTAAAGCCCTGATAGAGTTAAATCTGGCCAAGGACGTCAAGTGCAACAAGAAAATTTCTATAGATATGTCAGTGATAAAAAGAGACCTAGGGAAAATGTAGGCCCTCTCCGGAAGGAAACGGGAGAGTTGGCTACCCGGGATATGGAGAAGGCTGAGGTTCTCAATGATTTCTCTGCCTCAGTCTTCACTGGCAAGAGCTCCAGCAGCACAGCCCAAGTCACAGAAGGCAAAGGCAGGGACTGGGAGAATGAAGAACTGCCCACTGTAGGAGAAGATCAGGTTCGAGACCATCTAAAGAACCTGGAGGTGGACAAGTCCATGGGACCTGATGAGGTGCATCCGCGGGTCCTGAGGGAACTGGCAGATGAAGTGGCTAAGCCACTATCCATCATATTTCAGAAGTCGTGACAATCTGGTGAAGTTCCCACTGACTGGAAAAGGGGAAACATAGCCCTCTTTTTTAAAAAGGGAAAAAAAGAAGACCCAGGGGACTACAGGCCAGTCAGTCTCACTTCTGTGCCTGGCAAGATCATGGAGCAGATGCTCCTGGCGACTATGCTAAGGCACATAGAAAATAAGGAGGTGATTGGTGACAACCGACATGGCTTCACTAAGGGCAATTTCTGCCTCACTAATTTGGTGGCCTTCTATGATGAGGTTATAGCATTGATGGGTAGGGGAAGAGCAACTGACATTGTCTACCTGGACTTATCCAAAGCATTTGATACTGTCCCACATGACATCCTTGTCTCTAAACTAGAAAGACATGGTTTTGATGGATGGACCACTCGGTGGATAAGAAATTGGCTGGATGGTTGCACTCAAAGAGTTGTGGTCAACAGTTCAATGTCCAAGTGGAGGCCAGTGACGAGTGGTGTTCCTCAGGGGTCAGTACTGGGGCCAGTGCTATTTAACATCTTTGTTGGTGACATGGACAGTGGGATCGAGTGCACCCTCAGTCAAGTTGTGTGGTGTCGTGGACACACTGGAAGGAAGGGATGCCATCCAGAGGAACCTCGATAGGCTTGAGAGGTGGGCCTGTGAGAACCTCATGAAGCTCAACAAGGCCAAGTGCAAGGTCTTGCACATGGGTCAGAGCAATCCCAAGCACACGTACAGGCTGGGCGGAGAATGGATTGAGAGCAGCCCTGAGGAAAAGGACTTGGGAGTGCTGGTGGACGAGAAGCTCAACATGAGCCAGCAATGTGCGCTGGCAGCCCAGAAAGCCAACTGTGTCCTGGGCTGCATCAAAAGAAGCATGGCCAGCATGTCAAGGGAGAGGATTCTGCCCCTCTACTCTGCTCTCGTGAGACCCCCACCTGGAATACTGTGTTCAGCTCTGGAGTCCCCAACACAAGAAGGACATGGAGCTGCTGGAACAGGTCCAGAGGAAGGCCACGTAGATGATCTGAAGGCTGGAGCACCTCTGCTCTGGAGACAGGCTGGGAGAGTTGGGGCTGTTCAGCCTGCAGAAGAGAAGGCTCTGGGGTGATCTTATTGCAGCCTTCCACTACTTAAAGGGGGCCTACAAGAAAGCTGGAGAGGATTTTTTTACAAGGGTGTGTAGTGATAGGATAGGGGGCAATGGCTTTAAATTGAAAGAGTCTAGATTTAGATTAGATACAAGGAAGACATTTTTCACTCAGAGGGTGGTGAGGCACTGGCACAGGTTGCCCAGAGATGTTGTAGTGCCCCATCCCTGGAAGTGTTCAAGGCCAGGCTGGATGAGGCTTTGGGCAACCTGGTGTACTGGAGGGTTTCCCTGCCCATGGCAGGGGGTTTGGAACTAGATGATCTTTGAGGTCCCTTCCAACCCAAACCATTCTATTATTCTATATTCAGACAATGGGATTATGTTTTTTCCCCAGTAGTTTCCGCAGTTTTGAGGTCTGCTTGAAGTCCTCAAGCTTCAAGTGTCCATGAGGTGCAGTGGTCCTTTGGACATCCTCCCATGGTGGATGACTCCGCAGTCACCCACAAGTAGACAGGGAAGCAGTTCATCTGGGGCAGTCCATACAGACATGGTCACCTCCGACTAAGAAAGGATGTGGGGAGAGATGAAGACACGAAAGGACGTTACATCAGGTCCAGCAAGTAAAAGCCATGAGTTGAGAGGGTAAAAATCAAAACACAACTCTAAACCAGAGAGATGCTGGAAGACCTGCCCAGCGAGACCACGGTTTTCAAAAATCTGTTTTTGACATAGAGTTCAGTAATTTTAGAAGAAAAAATACCCCTAAGCAGCTGAGGACTGTCCATGGGGTCCTACAGCTCCCTTTTCCCTGGGGCTGTGGATGTTGGGCATGACTGAATGACACTGCACGTTTGATAGGTCACACCCAGGCTTCAACTCAGAGCAAAAAATGGTGGTCAAATCCAGGTGAGGAAGAAAGGATAGGCAACCTGGGCCCAGTCTGAAATGCTCTCTAAACAGAGTCACCCTAACCACAAGGGAGTTCCCATGCCTGCCAGCATCGAACCAGCTACGCGTACGAGAACCAGGGAAGGCCTTCCCACTTTCTACCTGAAGACCTGGTAGAAGGCATGCTTGTGCTTGTTGTTCCAGTCCTCCAGGTCGATGCGCAGAGAGTAGTCCCCTTGGCTCGTCATTTTGTGGATGTTCTCATTGCCCAGCCAGAACTCTCCATTGAGGTCCCCAAAGCCCTCTTTGTAGTCATTCCAGGTCCGGTTGAAGTCAACTGTGCCATCTTGACGCCGCTGGATGACTGTCCAGCCCCCACCTGCCAGGAAAGAGATAACATAGAATGAGAGTTTCCAGGGAGCATCCAGGAGGTCCCAGACAGACCCCTTAGTGGTGTCACCTCTGTGGATCCATCTGTGCTTCAGCAATGTGTCTCCCTGTCATGTCTCCTCCCACCAAGTGGCAAAAATACAGTGTCGGATGCTGCATGGGGATAAAACATGATGCCCATCATAGCTCACAGAAAAGGGCTCCTACTTTTTCCATGTCGGTTCACGATGGCGTTCCCCTGTTGACTGTCAGAGGGTCGTACCAGATCTTAAGGTGGTTTTAAATGAGAGAGAGATGGCAGTTTTTGGGAGGCAAATGTTTTGGGACTGGTACAATCTAGAGATCCCGGAATTTGGAGATTATTATGTACTGTTCCCGTAGCACCAGAGGCACAGGAGCTCTCTCAGTATTGTCTCACTGTCTCCATCTGCTCTTCCATCTGTCCAAATCCTTCTCTCCTCTCTTGTTTTATTTCAGTATTGTAAGATAAGGGGCGGGGGGGACTATGGCACTGGTGTCATCTTTTTTTTGTTGCTGTTTGTACAGCCTGTCATGCTACAGTGTCCAAGATTGTGTTGATGGTCATGTAAATAATAGTAATGACATAAGAGAGGCCACATTGTCTGAACAGCCCGTTTCTTAATGAGCATGTTCATCCCAAAGCTGCAATCACCTGTAGATACTACAATAGGGGAGATGCCTGCATTTAGGGAGCTGAACCCCTTCCTTCAGCATGGGATGTGCGAATGTGACACATCCATCTGGGCTGGAGTAGATCCATGGGGCAGGGAATTGACAATCCACTGCCCCATTTCCCTAATGATTCCCATTATTCTTCAAAGTCAGGTTGGATGAGGTTTTGAGCAACCTGGTGTAGTGGAAGGTGTCACTGCCCATGGCAAGGTGGTTGGAACCAGATGATCCTGAAGGTCCCTTCCAACCCAAACTATTCTATGATTCTATGATTCTATGATTCTATGATTCTATGATTCTATGATTCTATGATTCCAAAGCTCAAGTGTTGCAAACTATTTTTGTTAGTAAGTTTGTGCCATGAAATGACAGTAACGTGCAGATATTTAGCCAGCAAGGATGTGGGAGGTCACCTGCTCTCTCATTTACACTCCAAAATATCTGCGGGAGAGGATCTACCTCCCTCCTCCTCAATTCAGCACAGCTATGATTACTGGTTGCCCACACATAGCCCTCAACTACCCGAAGATGCTCCGGATACCCCCCAGTGACCAGCTGCTACTCCAGAAGGGCTTCTTTTTCCCTAAGCCCTGTCATATCCACTGGGGTGTTGCAAATATCTTGAATGTATAAGGACAACTCAAAGAGCACTAAACACCTGTATTTAGGCAACTGAATCCCAGCCATAACATCTGGTTTGAACTATTCAACCAAATCCCTCTATAGCCAGCAGAGAGGACAAGTCCTGTGTCCCTGGAGAAGAACCCTTCTGGGGATGCTGCTCCCACTGACTACGAAGTAGTCTCAGAATAACTCAGCTGTAACTCTCAGGTTGGACTAATCCCACCCAAAGCTCTGCTGGAAGATGCTGTAGGTGCCTCCCACAGTACCTTCGGTGTCCATCTCACACAGCACTTCAATAGGCATCCCTCCAACAGAGGGCATGATGCTGTAGACACCGGACCGCCGGAGCCCATTGTAGTAAACGGAAGCACAGTCGATGGGGCAGTTCCTGGCGTGCTTCACCTCTGAGCGAGAAAAGAGAGAAACACGGTCTTTAGTGCACAGGGTGGAGGAAGGGGCACGCAGCCAAAACCCCAACCGTAATGCAGAGTCGGACAAATAATCCTGGATTCAGAGCTTCTTCTGAAGCTGGAAATCTCTGAAGCATGCTGGCTTCACTGCCAGATTGCTGTGGCTCATTAGTGAAAAGGCTCGTTAGCGATAAGGCTCGTTAGCACAGATCTGCACTTGAAGATGCTGTGGCTGAGGAACTGTCTTCGGTTCAACTGTTTTTTTGATGGCAACACAGAAATGATATGCACTTTGCCAGCCTCGGATTGGATTATATCTCACACCAAAAAGGTCTTGTATGTTGATGAAGAGTAGGCTGGTTCTCCAGCAGTGCTCAGCATAGAAAATAGTGGAAGGTTTTTCTTCTCCCAAAATTCTGCTGTGGGTTTTGTCTTATGAGGAAAAGGGGATCAAAATCAGTCTGAAGAACCTGAAGATGTTTTTAACTGGAGTATGTCAGGTGGGATTTATTTCGCCTGGCACCAACCATCTATACTTCAGGCAGGCGGTCTCTGCCAGTCCTCAGAGACTTCTGCAGAAGGTGGTTCATCCTGGTTTTATGTGCGAGAGGAGAGAAGAGTCGCTCTCCCTGCCTCCCTCCATCACCCAGCAAAGGGGCTCAGCTGAGTTGCCTGCACAGAGCTGCACAGTGGCATCTGAGATACCGTGGGGCATCCTGACTGGCTTTCAGCTGCCCCGTGTAGGTCCTGTCTTCTATCTGCCAGGCTTGTGTGGTTGTCTCAGATGCTCCAGAGTATTTTGGGTGGCACTAGGTTGTGCCAACTAGGTGTCAACTGAACTGAGACCCTAGTCATAGGGGTGGAAAGAGCATGCTGAATTGCTCTTGGTCCATCCACTGTTTGCCTCCTTATCTTAAATATCCCGCTCGCATGGAGACACATGTATGTAGACACCCAACATGAAGCATCTTAACCTGTGAGCTGAGCTTCCCTGGTGGGATGAATCCCATCTTCAGAAAGAAAGGCACAAAGGCAGCTCCCTTTTACACACATGACTAGACCAGTATGAAATATAGCATGGTCTGAATACCAGACTGGGATCACTGGGAGAACTGGGAGCCTGAAGAAAGGCAGGAAGCATGCATGGGAGATGGCCTTTCCATGAGATTCTCAGAAAGGATGGGACCACAAGACAGGCAGACAATGAAAGCTCCTTGTAGATGGGAAAGTAAATCTGGAGGGGAGCAATGAATGAAAAGTTGCAACAACTCAGCCCACCAACTGAAGACAATGGTGGCTGGGAGGTCCTCAGTAGGCTGCAGGTTGGGGACACCCTTTGAGTCTGGCGCCAACCAGCAGTGCTGCTGCAGGGGAGCATGTGGGAGGAACCAGATGTGCACAGCAAGAAGTCAGGGAGAGGCAATCTAGACCCAGCAAGCATCTAGGACAGCTGGTAGACTCCAATCCCACCTACAGTTAATCAGCTAAAAGTGCTACATCAACTGGGTGTACTTGGGCTGACATTCTCCTGGCCAGCAAAGTCATTGTCCCGGTCACTCCAAGTTACTGAGATGAATCCCAGCTCTGGCTTGCAGGTGGTGGTCATGGCTGTAGACATCAACGCTGACATTCTGGTTTTGCACAGAGCATTTCTTGCTCATGGCTCAGAGGCACCTGGAAGCAGGTACCAGTGGAACAATTTATGCTACCTCCACCATGACATGGATGGCTAGAAGAACATTAAACAAGCGCAACAGAAAGGATTTAGAGTAGTTGGCTCAGGAGAGAATCAACATAACTTTTCCCTCCAGACATCACCAGATCAGATCAGATCAGATCAATGCCGGTAGGTGAAAGTCATTAGCAGTTCAGTTGTGTCTCATCATCCCAAGCCCTGAGTCATCCCATCCAGCCTGCTCCTCAGTGAATAAGACAGATGCTGTTCCTAAAGTCCCTCAGCCACAGTTCATGTAAGGCTGGAAGACTATTCAGGAGAAGTTCAACTCTGGGGCTCCCAACATAAGAAGGACATGGAGCTGTCAGAGCGGGTCCAGAAGAGGCCATGAAGATGATATCCATCCACCTTGTGACCAGGTGGAAGATCTGCTTATCATGGTTGCAGAGCTGTGGGAGGAAGTAGAAAGGTTGAGAAGTATCAAGGAGCCTGAGAAAGAGAAAGATTGGAGGTGTCGGGCACTGCCCGACCTGAAGCAAAAACAAAAACAAAACCAGGAAGACCCAGAAAAGGCAATCCAAACCAAAGGGCATTCTGATTCCTCACCCTACATGGCAGAAGACAGTAAGTCAAAGGTGAGACACGAATGGAAAGAAGTCCGTGCTTGGGGAAACAGGCAACCCCCCTGCTCCTTGCCTATCTCAGCTCCCCAGGTGCCCCTGCACAACAGGTATGAGGCTCTGGAGGTGGAAGGCCCATCGATGGATGGTGTAGCTGAGGGACCTTCTGCACTGGAGGTGTCACTAGGGTCAGAGAGGACTACCCGTTGTATCAAGACCGCCTCCACAAGGAAGAAAAGAAGGGTAGTAGTTATAGGTGACTCCCATCTGAAGGGGACAGAAGGTCCAATATGCTGGGCTGACCCTGCTCTGAGGGAAGTCTGCTGCCTCCCTGGAGCCTGGGTTAAAGACATCGCTAGGAAACTTCCTACCCTGGTACAGTCCACGGACTACTATCCTTTACTGCTCTTCCATGTGGGCGGAGATGAAATTGGAACACGGAGTCCACGATCAATCAATCAGGACCCTCGGACAGGTGGTAAGAGGACCTGGGGCACAGGTAATCTTTTCGTCCATCCTTCCAGTTGCGAGCAATGACACTGGAAGAAGCAAATGCATTCAGTCGATTAATAAGTGGCTCCGTGGCTGGTGTCATCACCACAATTTTGGCTTTTTTGATAAAGGGATGGGCCACATGGCACCAGGCCTACTGGCACCAGACAGGACTTGCCTTTCTCACAGGGGAACAAGGGCCTTAGCGCAACAGCTAGCAGGGCTCATTGACAGGGCTTTAAACTAGATTTGAAGGGGGAGGGGGGTAATATCAAGAATGATAAAGATATGTTGGAAGTACCTGAAGAACAGAAGAAAGAAATTCCAGGAACCTGACCGAAATGAAGTCAGGTTCATCTGGGGCCCAACTTAAATGCCTTTATGCCAATGCGTGCAGCATGAGGAATAAGCAAGAGGAGTTAGAAGTGTGTGCG